TTTTCTTTAACAAACAACATCCCAGGAGGGTTTGGGGTTAAGGCCGAACCCCCAACCTTCATATAAAAAAAGCCTTAAATGGGTTGAAAAGTCTCAAAGCTACAAGTCCAATGTCTGATACATCAAGTCAAACGAAAAATAAAAAAAGAAGCAAGAAAATATACAAGGAGAATCTGACAACTACAGCGAGAAATACAAAAATAACAGGTCCAGGTCCGTGGAAAGCCCCGGCGAAAAAGTCAACATCACAGTGTGGCAGATGCGTCAAAAGGTAGGATCGTCTATACAAATCTGAATGAAGGGTATCCCATTTGGTCCATTCGAATGAGGGTTCGGAGGCGGAGAGGAATATCATCAAGGTAAAGAGTGCGTCTCTGGGGGGTGGAGGACCCGATGCCAGCAAGGAAGTCTGCAAGCCGGTTCCCCTTGCGGAAGATGTGCGAGATCCGAGAGCAAATCTACCGAAGAGTGACTCTAATACGCATGAGAGGGTGTTGAATGTGCCACGTGCCCTAGTGGCCAGATAACAAGAGAGTGATGACAGCGGCAACGTCCAACTCTATCTTAATGTGAGAGGAGATCGAGGCGGCAATCTGAAGACCGATTTGAAGTGCTTGAATCTCCGCATCATAGCTCGAGGAGGCAAAGAGAGGCTTGATAGTCGTAAGGTTATGATCTACCTTCAGCCTATGGCTGCGTGTGTGTATTTTTTCTAGGCCACCTTTTAGTGGTTCTCAGATTTTGTTCTGTTTTTGTTTCCGGCCACTCTCGATTGTTGTACTTAATTTTGTTTTATTTATAATGGTTATAATATCCTCTAATATTCCAAAAAAAAAAAAGGAAAGAAAAAATCAAAAAGTAAAATATAAAAAAAAAATCATCTCGTTTCATATAACAGATCAATCATCCATAGATATTACTAAGGTCAACCCTTTCCAACTGGCTGCTTAGTTATTTAAATCCCACATCGAATGCGAGGACTAGTTATTAAATCTGACATGCACATTTTGCTTCGTTATTTAAATCCCACATCGAATGCGAGTACTATTTATTAAATCAGACATGCACATGGATCATGGATGGAACAAGTTAGCCTTGTTATTTATTAAATCCCAACTGTTACTATATATTCATCATCATCTTATCGTAAATAGCTGTACTAAAGACTACATTTCTATTGTATTGATTTCCACCAGCCTTATTCAGCTCAGACTTTCCCAAAAAAGACACAAAAAATGGAAGTTACTTCAAACAAGTTCATGGTCACAAAATGCCACATAGAAGGAGCTCCCGATGTGACGCACTTCGCCGTTAAGGAGGAGATGGTGCCCTTGAGAATCGATAAGAACGACCACACTACGCTCGTAATTGTGAAAAACTTGTACGTCTCGGTTGACCCGTATATGCTAAACCTCATGAAGACCCAAAACAGTTCCAATGAAATCCTGACCGCGCTTTCTCTCATTTTACCTGGACATGTACGTATGGATAGATCGTGGCTAAATTTCATTTTTAGTACACTATGTTGGTTATTGTACGAATTTTGATTAAATTTGTAATTTAATAAACCATTCTTGATGATGCACTAGATGATGGACCTTTTTCGGAAAATGACCAACATAGTGGACCATATTTGAAATTTTACCCTGCGCTGCACGACTTGATTTACATATGAAAAAAAAAAAAAAATCATTTTCATTCGTTTAAAGTAATGTATTACAAATCTTTGTATCATGATCACCAACTCATTGTATATAAAATGTTGTCTCAAATTTTGGCAGGCAATTCCTTCGATTGGGGTGGGAAGAGTGTTGGATTCTGTGCATCGAGATTTTAAAGCAGGCGATCTTGTGTTGGGAATGCTCAGCTGGGCACAGTATACCATTGTACCAATTGGCGTCGATCCCTTGTTGCAAAAAGTGGATGATAAAATGGGATTTCCACTCTCATATTATACTGGAATTCTAGGTATATATGCATCTTTACCTAATACAGCAAACTCTCTGCATATAGATTACGGATTTTCTTGACAATGAGTGTCAGTCGTAGTTCAGGATATAGCGGCATTTACAATGTATAAACTGTAGGTTATAGCGGAATTACAGCGTATGGAGGATTTTTCAAAGTATGCAAACCTAAGAAGGGGGAGAAAGTTTTTGTTTCTTCTGCTTGCGGTTCGGTTGGTAACTTAGTCGGGCAGTATGCTAAGTTATTCGGCTGCTATGTTGTTGGCTGTGCCGGGACTAAACAAAAGGTAATGACTTATTATTATCCTTTGTTTTCAGTGAGTACAGTCCGAAAGAGTGTTGTCAATGTTAAGCATGCTTTACGGTTTGGACGATTATACATTTTTCAACAGATCATAACTTTGTTTTGAAATCATGTGCGGCATAATAAACAGCAATAGTACAAGCATGACGTTTAATTAGCCTAACAACACTATTCATATGAATGTTATATGGGCGCAATTTTTGGCACTAACTACACGTTTTGATTCGCAATGCAGGTCAAATTTCTGAAAGAGGAACTTGGGTTCGATGAAGCATTCAACTACAAAGAAGAAACTAATTTGAGTGCTGCTTTGCAAAGGTTAGTAATGAGTTCACTTAACAATGCCTTTTAGTAGTTAGCTAGTCGAAAATCTTATAAGAAAACATAGATATATAACCTGATGTTGTCGACAAATGTTAATTATTATCACAGGTGTTTTCCTGAAGGAATCGACATATACTTTGACAATGTCGGAGGTGAAATGCTAGAAGCAGTTGTCGAGAACATGAATACTTTTGGTCGAGTTGCAGTTTGTGGAGTCATGTCCGAGTATGCAGACAGTGCAAAACGAGGCTTTCCTAACATGCTCCGAATTATATATAAAAGAATCAAAGTAGAGGGTTTTATTTTGCTGGACATGTTCGATGTATACGAAGACTTCTTCTCGACTACTACGCAACATCTCAAGGCTGGAAAAATGAAGGTCATTGAAGACATTTCCCATGGTGTGGAGAGCATCCCTGGAGCCTTTGTCGATATATTTCGTGGCAATAATATTGGCAAAAGGGCTGTGAAAATAGCTGAAGAATAGCTGCTTCGTTAGTAGGGTGCTTGGAACTTCGCCTCGAACGATCCAACCCAATAATTCCCAGTGGATTCATCATGATTACTTGTGCAAAGGCATAATTGATGATGAGGTCGTTCGTTAATTTTCTTGTGTAATAACTAATAAATGGTATGAGACTTGTGAATGAATTGCACAATACGTTATTGGTTTCAAATGCACATGCTTGGGTCCAATAGGTGTTAAAACGGTTTTGGTATGGATCAAAATTGGTGAAGCTGGCTGCAAAATTACTCAAATTGAAATTGAAGTATTTTTTTTTTTTTTTTCATTCCTAAACCATACCCCGGAAGGGTGGGGGATTAAGGACAGACCTCCGAACCTGTATATATAAAAAAGGCCCAAAAACGGGCTAAAAGGTCACAAGTCTACAAGTCTAATGTCCAGACAACAACTTGCCAACTAAAAGAGATCAAACAAGAAACAATAAAAAAAGAAAGAAACTACAATGGAAAATAAAACCAAAAGATCCGATCCTGGTCTGGTAAGTGTCCAGGCGAAGGGTTCACATCATTGTAGGACAGAAGCACCAAAATGTAGAGACGACTACCCAAGTCTAAAAGATGGGTATCTCAGCTGGTCCACTCGTATAAGGGTACAGAGACGGAGAGGAATATCGTCAGGATGAAGGATGCGTCTCTAGGGGGTGGAGGTCCCAATGCAGGCAAGAAGGTCAGTAGATCGGTTCCCCTCACGGAAGATGTGCGAGACCTGATAGCGAATCAGCCGAAGGGTGGCTCTAATACGCATGAGTGGATGTTGAATCTGTCACGCGCCCTGATAGCTAGAGGTCAAGAGGGTGATGACAGCCGCAACATCCAACTCAATCCAAATGTGAGAGGATATCGAGGCAGCAATCTAAAAACCGATCTTGAGCGCTTGAACCTCCGCGTCATAGCTTGAGAAGGCTCGAAGAGGAGTATGGAATGCGGTAATAAGAGCACCGCTCTGGTCCCTAACCAGGCCCCAACCTCCGGTAAGTCGATCAAAGGATACGTCAGTGTTCAGCTTAACCCAGGATGACTCGGGTCTTAGCCAAACAATAGCTCTGGCGCGTGGATGCTGGACAGGCAGCAGCGGAGATTGAGCAAAACGATAAGGTAGTATGCAGCCTGTCTAGTCTCTCGGGGAGAGTCTGCCCAGAGTGGTGAGGAGGGATAGATGTCTGTCAACCTGAAAAAACTAATATGGAAATACAATATACATATCCCTATGCTTCGCATTATTCCTTTCTGTCCAGGTGGACCAAAGGATCAGACAATAAATAAGAAAGCCCATGTGCCTATCGTGTGTGCTCTGTGTGAAAAAACTCAAAAGGTCAAAGAAATTATCTTTGGCGGGTAGGGGTATATGAGAACTGGTATAATGCTTGCACACTCTCCTCACAGTCTCGCTCTCAAGAAACAAATGGGTGAAGGTCTCAGTCTGAAAGTCGTCGGTCCGACACAATAGTAGCAACATGAGAGAAAAGATAACCCCCTCGTCTTCATCACAATATCAATCGGAAGACGACGCAAAAGAATGCGCCAAAGAAAGACAAAGATTATTACCTAGGTTTAACCTCAGGGTTTGTCCCCGAGTCTCCTAGGCCGGTTTTCCGTGCTAATTGACCCGATTTTTCTAGAAGACTAACCGAGCCAAGAGGAGCCTAATCCTTTCAACTCTCACGAACTCATTTTCGTGAGCTTCTCTTTCCAAACGAGGTTTCCGAACGAGATGATTTAGGTTTAACCTCGAGGGGTTTCCCCGAGTTTCCTAAACCGGTTTCTCGGGCTCATTATCCCAATCCACGAAGTGGCTCGGAATAAGAGGAGCCTAATCTGTGCTTCCTCGCGAACTCACATTTTATTCCTTTTTTTGAAGGAAGTGGCATACAAGGATACATCACAATTACAATAACATAATCATCACAACTCAATCGAAACGTACCACAAGTGCGTAGATAACACATTTACAACGATAATCGAACATAAGGAAAGCATGACTCAAGACAATCAATCGAGAACAAACAAGGGACAAAACAATTCCGTGAATCCACATGCGGGTTTCAATGTCAACGATCATCAATCAATTTAAGGACACCGTCTAATTCATCAAGTACATAAAGCATGAACGTTAATAGTGATACCAATCAACAATCTCGATTCACTACTTAGCTATCTCGACTCTCGAACAAACATTGAGCATCATGCGGGAGAGGTGACACAAACACACAAAAAACTCAAATAAAACCGGTCCACAACTCAACAAACACAAAAAATAAAGCACAAAAAACGAAGAAAATATCACCTAAACATGCATAATCACGAAAATCCCTCCCACACACTTAAAACAAAGTAATGTCCTCATTGCTTGACCAAAAAGCATAAGAGAGAGCAGATAATCATGTAAGTTCATACGATAAAACAAAACGAAATACACTAAACGAATATACACAACAAAGGAAAACACAAGAACACGCAAGAAACAAGAAAAAGAAAAATAAAATAGGAAAAGAAAATGCGTACTCTACACGGTGGTGCTCCATCGTGTGTCTAATGGTGTTCGTCCGGTGGGAATACGAGAAATAATCCAAAGGTCCCCGAGTGCAAAACAAAGCCATTCGATCGATTGAACAATAAAAACATGACGATCCATAAACCATCCGACACTATCACATTTGAAAGAATAAGAGAATCCCTTCCGCCGGCTCCGAGTAAAGGCCACATGTATGCATCTCAGAGGGATAATAACCGGGAATCCACAAACTCAATGAAGACACACATATGCATGAAAGATCAAAATTCAGGCCACGAACCCATAATGATACTCTCCATGGCATGACCCGACCAACTTTTCAATCAAATCATAACCTCGGCACAACCGAGCACCAATGCTATAGTGAAATTCAAATCAAATGCCAAAGTGCACCGTATTTTCCCTAAAACAATCAACAATAACTCCAAATGAGCCTCACACCGAAAGGCACTAGCCAAAATCCTCCAAATGATCAATATATACTCACAAACCCCTGAGACAACTCCCCCACACTTAGTATATATCACCCCAACTCAATAAAATCACACCTAATTCAAATACACATGGCACGAGTAGGTCTAAGTGAAATACCTTGCAAAACGATTTTCTCGGCATCAGGAGTAAGAAAAATCAGGCAATGAGTCGTGTCCAAGCTCCAAGAGAGTGAATAATACACGAAAAATGGGTGAGAGAGGTAGAATCACCGCAAGATAAGGTTTTCGACGGCTCTAACGGCTCGAAACGGTCCCAGGAGATCGAAAATGTCGTTTCCCGCCGAAAAATGTCGACGGCGGCCAGAAAACAGGGCCCGAGAGGTTCGCTGGAAAATTCGGCCGGAAAAGTCGTCGGTCGCCGGAAAGTGTCGCCGGCGGCCGAAAAATATCGCCGGCGGTCGTCGGGTGTGCCGGGGCTCGGTGGTTTGTGTTACTGTTATATACTGAAAGTTTGGCTTTAGATAATATTACACTTTTACCCTTTATGAATGAGAAACGTGTTAGATTAAACAAGTTCTACGTTTTGTTGTTTTGCATTAGATAGTGTGGGTCGTCATCGGGCGAACCGAAGATCATGCTATCAGTTACTCGCGAAACAAGAATAAGTGGTTCACAACCCAGATAGACATTAAAACCCGTCGCGGACGGTTGTAGTGTCAACTGTACAGTTTGTCTTGACTGATTAGTTGCACTAGTACATTTATGTATTGAACATGATCCCAGAGAGAAGTAGTTCATTTTATACTGATCGTCGTAAACGAACTAGGCATCGGTTAATTACTGCGTACTCTTAACCCGTAAGATATTAAACAGACATATATGTGTAGTATTTACTGTGTATTGTGAACGCTGCGGCAGATGTACTTCTCAATCTTAGGAATATGTTCGGACACCAGTCTAGGGCTGCTAGGTAAGAGGCCATGAGTGCTCTGATGACTATGCGCATGGAAGAGGACACACCCGTAAAGGAGCATGCTCTCAAGGTTATGGCGCTACTCAATGAGCTTGAGGTTATGGGAGGTTTTATCGACTGGAAAACCCAGGTTGATATCATGCTCCAATCTCTGCCGAAGAGATTTGATCAGTTCCGGTTGAACTACAACATGCACAAGAAGCATATGGCTCTTCAAGAACTGTTAGCAGAGCTTCAGTCGGTGGAGGCCTTATTCACTCAGGCACCTCACGCACTGGTTGCCGAGCAGGCTGGACCTTCCAGGCCACACAAGGGCAGGAAGAGAAAGAAGTCTACAGGAAAGGCAAAGGTGCAGGATGCCCCGGTGGTACAGCGACCGTCCCCTCAGTCTGTGGCAAGAAGCCGAAAGGTAGATGCCACAAGTGCCACAAGTCAGGACACTGGAAGGTCGACTGCCCTCTCCTCAAGAAAGGTAAATCTCTCGTTAATGTCGTAGAAACATGTTTAGCAGTTGTATCTACCAGAACCTGGTGTAGATATTGGAGCCAATGATCATGTCTGCAATTCGTTGCAGGGGTTCCAGGAAACCAGGCGGCTTAGGGAGGGAGAGATCACCATCTACATGGGCAATGCTACAGAAGTGGCAGCTGTAGCTGTGGGAGACGTTACTTTATCTTTTGATAGTAGTACTTTGGTTTTGAGACATTGCCTTTATGTTCCTAGTTTTACAAAGAATCTTGTTTTAGTTTCTAAACTTGTTTCAGATGCATTTTCGTTTACGTTTGATGACATGGTTGTTACTCGTTATGAAAAGCGTTTTATTTGTTCTGGTTCATTAGTTGGAAATTTATATGTTCTCAAACCAAACTCTCCCACACTGCAACAAACTGAATTGAATAATGTCACGACTATATCTAATAAGAGGAAGGAATCTTCGAGTATGAATCAAGCATATCTATGGTACCTTAGACTTGGGCACATCAACCTAAGGAGGATTCAAAAGTTAGTGGCCAGTGGACTTCTTGGTCCATTGGAAGAGCACTATCCAACTTACGAATCATGCCTAGAAGGTAAGATGGCCAAGAGGCCGTTTACGGCAAAGGGGTATAGGAGCCAAGAAGTGCTAGGATTGATTCATTCTGATTTATGTGGTCCTATATTGATCCAGGCTAGAGGAGGTTTTGAGTACTTTGTCTCTTTTATAGATGATTACTCGAGATTTGGGTACATTTATCTGTTGCACCGCAAGTCCGAATGCTTTGAAAAATTCAAGGAGTATCGGGCAGTTATGGAGAAGCTACATGGTAAAAGTATCAAGTCGCTTCGATCTGGTCGAGGTGGCGAATAACTCTTTGGAGAGTTTAGGACATATTTATCAGAAGTTGTTATTGAATCCCAATTGACTGCACCCGGCATGCCCCAGCAGAACGGGATTGCAAAACGAAGAAATAGGACTCTTATGGAAATGGTTAGATTGATGATGAGTTATTCAAAGTTACCAGAGTTCTACGGATTGGCTTTAGAAACAGCTGTTTATATTCTGAACATGGTTCCTTCAAAGTCGGTAGAAACTGCTCCTTATGAGATGTGGAAAGGGTGCAGCCCAGTTTTTCATAGTTTCGAGTATGGGGTAGTCCTGCACACGTGTTAGTGCAGGAAGCTGGCAACTTGGAGAAACGTTCGGAAGCACGAGTGTTTGTAGGCTATCCCAAGGGAACGAAAGGTTGATTATTTTATAGTCCTGAGGATCAGAAGGTGATCGTTAGCACGAACGCTAGATTCTTGGAAGAAGACTATATTATGAATCACAAGCCCGCGAGTAGACTAGTCTTAGAGGAGTTGAGGGGTGAAGTCGATATTTCCCCACCGAGTGCGCAAGTAGATACATCACATAATACTGCAACACGGCACACTGAGAGTGTACCAGTATAGACAGTACCTCGTCGTAGTGGGAGGGTTTCTCAATCACTCGACCGATGGATAGGTCTTGGAGAGTCTAAGGGCTTAGTTCCAGGAAATCTAGAATCGGACCCAAGAACCTACAACGAGGAACTCCAAGATAAAGATGCAGAATCATGGAATATTGCAATGAATGCTGAAATAGGGTCAATGGACTCTAATCAGGTCTGGGATCTTGTAGAATCACCCAATGGGGCACGACCCATTGGATGTAAGTGGATCAACAAGAGAAAGAGAGGATCGGATGGAGAGGTGAAAACCTTCAAAGCTAGGCTTGTTACGAAAGGTTATACCCAGATTGAGGGTATAGACTATGATGAGACCTTTTCGCCTGTAGCTATGCTTAAGTCCATTCGGATTCTCTTGGCTGTAGCCGCTCATATGGATTATGAGGTATGGCAAATAGATGTTAAGACGGCTTTCCTTAACGAAAACCTTCAGGAGGACATCTATATGCAGCAACCAGAGGGATTCATTGTAAAAGGACGTGAGCATCTAGTGTGTAAGCTTAATCGGTCCATTTATGGATTGAAGCAAGCTTCGAGATCTTGGAATATTCGGTTCGATGAGGTGATCCAGTCGTACAGGTTCACTCAATGTCCGGATGAGCACTATGTGTACAAGAAAATCAGTGGGAGTGTGGTGGTGTTTCTTGTGTTGTACGTGGATGACATACTTTTTATTGGAAGCAGTAAGAAAGAGTTGTCAGACGTAAAGGTGTGGTTGTCTAAGCAGTTTGATATGAAGGACTTAGGAGAAGCAGGACACATTCTTGGTATTAGGGTCGTAAGAGACCGTAAGAAGAGAATGCTGTTCTTATCCCAGTCATTATACATAGATACTGTCTTGGCTAGGTTCAGCATGCAAGATTCCAAGAACATTACCTTGACTTTCAGGAAAGGAATCCCTCTCTCTAAGGAGATGTCTCCTAAGACGCCTCAAGAGATTGAGGACATGAAGACAGTTCTTTATGCATCGGCAGTAGGAAGTCTTAGGTATGCTATGCTTTGTACCAGGCCAGATATCAGCTACGTCGTTGGCTTAGTAGCCAGATATCAAAGTAATCCGGGTAGGAAACATTGGTCTGCGGTGAAGCATATACTCAAGTACTTGAGAAAGACTAAGGAGTATATGTTAGTTTACCGTGCAGATAGCTTGTTACCTCTGGGTTATAGTGACCCTGATTTCCAGTCAGATAGGGACGAGAGCAAGTCAATCTCTGGTTATGTGTTTACCTTGGGAGGTGGAGCCATTTCATGGAGGAGTGCTAAGCAGAAATGCGTGGCAGACTCCACCATGGAAGTCGAGTGCATAGCAGCCTCAGAGGCAGCGAAAGAGGCAGTTTGGCTCAGAAACTTCTTGGTGAACTTAGAGGTGATTCCGAGTTAGCCACGTGGTATCACCGTGTACTGTGATAACAGTGGAGCAGTGGCAAACTCAAAGGAACCACAAGCCCACAGATCAAGTAAACACATAGAGCGCAAATACCATATGATCTGAGAGATAGTTGGTAGAGGAGACGTTGATGTTGCCAAGATTGCATCTGAGGACAACCTAGCTGATCCTTTCACGAAGAGTTTGACGGAGAAGGTCTACATCAAACACGTCACAGGAATGAGAGTCAAGTGCATGGCGATAGGATCGACATAGGGCTTTTAGAATAACGGATTGATAGGACTATACTTGTAAAGGCGAAAGCTTTAAGTATAAGCGGGAGATTGTTAGTGTTATATACTGAAAGCTTGGCTTTGGATGATATTATACTTTTACCCTTTATGAATGAGAAACGTGTTAGATTAAACAAGTTCTACGTTCTGTTGTTTTGCATTAGATAGTGTGGGTCGT